CTTATTTTTAATTTTTAAATTTTATTTGTTCCAAGTTTTGTGGTAAAAATAAATAAGGCAAGAACAATAGTATGTATATAATATATTCAAGTTGGTTTAGTGTATAAAATACTAATGGAAAAAAGATGCAATATTTCTTAGTTTTTAGGCAAAATATGAGATTTCCCGATCTCAATCCCGATTCCCGAAATATTTAGGGATACCGATATAACCGGGATTTAATAGTTTGGGACGGGATTGGGATTTAAAATTTCTATCCCGAATCCCGAAATCCCGATCCCGAAAATCCCGAATTCCCGAAATCCCGTCCCGAACTCACCCCTAAGCCTAAATAACGAAAATCCCCCCACGTTAAATATGTTAAAAAATAAAAGAAAAAAGCTGAAAATTCCAATAATTCAGCGTGATCAGCGCCCAGCCCCGCCATTTCTCCGCCCTCTCAATTCTCTTCCTCCTCCCGATCTCAATTTCCAGCGGCGTTTACCCTTTCCTTTTCCCGCCGCCCAATTATAATAATATTAATAATAAATCAAATTCAGTTCCTTCTCAATTTATTATCCAATTCATTAAAAAAAAAAAGAAAAAAGAAAAAAAAAATCATTGTCTTCTTCCCGTTGCCCACCCCCCAAACCCGAATCCACACAACCCGAGGCTAACCCCAGCACCATCACCTCCTCTTCTGCAATCCACATACCAGACCCGAATCCGCACAACCCGAGGCTAACCCCAGCCCCAATTACAGCAACGGCCTATCTACAACATCTCCAAACGATTTCTCTCAACGGCGACGAGTTTGACGGCCGAACCTGCTAGTCCAACAATTGCATCTTTTTGTTCTTTTCTCTTCTCTTGCTCGCCTTGTGGCCGCCACCGCCGTCAAAATAGGACATTGTGTGAAGGTTTGAGGCACGTGTAAAGTTTATTGATGGAAACTAAAATTTCAAAGATGTTGTGGGCGATAGATCTGGAGAAGATGGTGGTGGTGGTGAAGGAGGGGTGAGATGGTGGTGAGCAGCGTCGGAGCAGAAGCGGCGGCTGGGTGGAGAAACGGTGGATGAGTGTTGTGGCCTGTGAGTTGGGTGGGAGGGCAGGGGATCTACTGGAGAAGAAGCTTTTCTTTATTTCTTCTTTTTTCTTTTCTTTATTTAATATAGAATGTAAAAAAAAAATAGAAAACATATAAAAAACTTTTAATATTACAATTATATTTTATTTTGGTTTAAATATATTTTTTATTTTTAATATTTACAAAATAAAAAAATATATAATATCTATGAAATTATAATATAATTTATTAATTGCTGAAAAACTCCTTAGGGTATCTTTGTCATTTTATCTTCAGTCAATGCCTAAAATCACAAAAGGTGCAGTGTGCTTCGAAAATATTAACACAATGGGGTATTTGTCAATTTTTTTTTTCATAGGGGGTATTTGACAATTAGAGATAACACAGGGGTGGTATTTGCAATTAGCTCCATGCAAAATCGCCAAGAACTCTAACGGCCCTTGTTTACCCGCATTTCCGAAATCTCTAATCCAAAATTGGAAATTAAACTTTTTTATTTTTTTATGTAAATCAAGTATTATTCATTATTCAAGCTATCCAAGATTTGGAATTTATCTCGAAGTCAACAATTATATATATATATATATATATATATATATATATATATATATATATATATATATATATATATATTGCAAGTCTAAATCAAAAAATCATATGCAGAGTTTAAACCTATTACTAGATGAGTTCAAGCGTTGACCATACAAATTAAATGAATGGATGGATCACAAGAAGGCACCACAAATAAACTAGTAGATAAATCGAACAAATCCTAGTTCAATCCTTGTCCTCCCCTACTTCCCCAATATATAACAGAATTTGAATTTTTCAAAAAAAAAAAAATCGAATTAAGTCCCAACTCTTCAATATAATGGGCCCCTCCCGCCTAATCATGCTTGTAAAATAGGGCGATATTTCAAAATTCTTAAATATTAAGTAAATTACGAGAATATTTTGTCGTGGCGAAACTATATGACATTCAAGCTCGCCAAAAGTTCAAACCCCCCCCCCCCCCGATTTTTTTTTTCTCTCTTCTTCTTGATTTTTCCGCCGGGTGTCGGCGGCTCCGGTGTTTGACTTTTTCAAAAAAAAAATTATGCTTCTGTCGTCGCTGTCCACCGGTCAACGCCGGTCTCTGGTGGCATTGACTTTTTTTTTCGAATTTTTTTTTCTTTAACATATTTTTGCCCCTGTTTAAACAACAATATTGATATTGTTGTGATTGACAGTAATATTAACTATATTACTGTTAAACACATTAATATTAACTATAATATTGTTTAACACAATAATATTGCTATATTAATCTCTAGCAAAGTAATATTAACACAACAAAAGTCATTATTATTGTGTAATAGAGTAATATTAATATATTGACCGTTCAACAAAGGTAAAATTAATAAAAAAAAAACCAAAAGAATTAATATTGATGTGGTTGACAGTAATATTACTGTCATCCACAGTAATATTACTGTAACAACAGTATTATTACCGTCAACCACAGTAATATTACAATAGAAGACAGTAATATTATTACATTAATCCGTCAACAACTCAAACAAAAAAAACCCAAAAAAAAATAATCTTGATGTGGTTGAGAGTAATATTATTGTGTTTACACTTATTTTACCGTCAACGACAATAATATATATAATTACATTGACTTGTCAACAAATCAAAAAAAAAAAAAAAAAAAAGGGCAAAAAAATAATAATATTGTCGCTGACTGTACTTGCAGGGGCGGAACCAAGATTAAAATATAGGGGAGGCTAACTAAAATTTCGGGGTTCGGGGCAGCGCCCCGAAATTTTTTTTTAGGTTTACAAGATATAGCAAAAATAAGTTTATATTGATAATTTTTTAATTAAAATAGCATATATATTATAGTTTTATCATCTTTTAAGCATGACAAAAAAATCTTAATGTATTACACTTAAATATTTTGGAGATTAACGGCATCATCTCATATTATTTTTAAGAGACACTGATAAAAAAATTCCAAAATAAGTAAATATTCATAGATATTATTATATAAAATAATACAAATTTAACCATTTTATTAAATATTTTTAAATTAGATATGATGTATACAAGTATAATTTATATAAGATGGAGAAGAAACAAAAAAATTAAGGGTTAAGACACATATTTACAAAAACTTTAGGGGGGTCAAAAGTAATATTCAAAAATTAAAATGCCAAACTACCTAAAATAAATTTTTTTTTTAAATCTTGGGGGGGCAACAGCCCCCCCTGCCCCTTAAAAGATCCGCCATTGTGTACTTGTAATGTCAACGACTATACAATTACATACTGTCAACGACAGTACAATTACGTTAATGTATTGTCAGTGACGGATAATTACTATTAATGACAGTATAATTACGGTCAACGTTTA